AGTGAGCTCTACGTTTCCCTTTTGAGATACATTCATGGGAGTACTACTAGAGTGACCCATTATTTGAAAAAAGTGGACAGAAACCCTACAATGATAAACCTTGTGATATATAATTGGCTAATAAAAAACAGTGTACTAAATTAACCTAATCCATCATAATTGACAAATAAGTTGACAGGAATCGTAGTTAAGTTAATTATAGGCTTCAGCCCTACATACCCCCATGAAGTATTCTTTTTGTCCAGTCATATCCCTGGCCTACTTCTAGTCGATCTCATCTTATTTCCAGCTAACCAGTTCACCCGTATTTAACCCCATGAACTGTTTTCACGCCTACACTCCCCTCCCTGAACTATCATTTCGATCCCACTTTACCCTGTGAAATTATCATTTTCTCCATTTAAAATACCTATAAATTAAAAAAAAAAAAAAAAGGAGAAGTGGTAACTTGGTACTAAAAGTGATAGTTTAAAGGGTAATGCGCGCGGGACTAAAAAAGAATTACTAGGTAAAAAAGGGTAATATCAATAATTCAAAGGGTAAGATGCAACTAGAAATAGTTCAGGAGGTACGAAAGGGCAAACAGTAAGCTTTTCAATTATAAAAAATAGTAAGCTTTTTAATTAAACTGTAGTGTACTCCCCATCTTTTTTGCTTGATAATTGCTTTCCTTTGTTTGTGTTAGCATCTCCGTTCAATGAATGATTGAGAAGAAACGAGAATCGAATGACTCATTGAATATATGTTGCCAATAGGAATATTGAAAGTTAATGTGTGATTATGAGATAAAAAGTGATGGCTTGCTTTGTTTTCCTACTTTTTTAAAAAAGATAAAAGAATCTTTAAAGAATGTTGGCAGCGAATGAATAACGATACTGTTTATAGCCAGGCGTGAGATTTAAAGGCAATGGATTTAAGAGGAAGGAGATGGTAACCAAAGACCAGAATTGGAGCTGCAGGGATGGGCTTAAGGTCTCTACCGTTTTATTGAACTGATTCTAAAGAGGGGGAAAATAAAGTAGGTATTGTTCGTGCATGGTACGTAGGTTTTAGCACCTAGATCTAGCCATTCTCTTATAGTGTACGTGGACCACCTTTGACATGTATTTTAGTGAAATAATAGTTAAATGTATAATAATCTCAAACGCATGATGGAACCTGATAAAGAAGGATCAAGAAGATTGGTGTGAGTGACTGTATAAGATCACAAGTCTAAAAATTATTACTGAAAAGTGCAATAGCTCTATCATATATAGAAAATTAGAGCAAAGCAGGAATTTAGGTGAAAGTTTTAAATTTTGGCTAGAAAATTTCAAAAATTTAGGTTTCATTTGGATATCATGTTGTTTTTCTTATTGTGTTTTTTAAAAAAAACACCATGGTGTTGTATTTTTCTCTTAAAATATTTTTAAAACACCGTGTTAAATATTTTTGGTCAACACTAGTTTAACCCATTATAACATTAGTATTAAACATATTATTATATATTAATTATAATAAAATATAGGGAAAAATGTGTCCAGGCCCCAAAAACAGAAGCTTCATATGCTGCAGCCCCTCCTAGTTTCCCCCATGTGATTCAGCCCCTTGAAGTGTGACATTTTGTGCTGCACCCCATTTTTAACAATTATTACATGCCAACTAAGCTAAAATCCCCAAAATAACCTTATCCCCTCTCCTCAATCCTTCAAACCCAGTTCTCTCTCTCTCTCTCTCTCTCTCTCTCTCTCTCTCTCCCCTCTCTCTTTAAAAACAAGGGCTTTCTAAAGCTCGTCGCTCTGGCCCTCGCCCTCCTCGCCGTCACCACCTCCGCCCAGGCTCCCAAGCCTCCCCCGAGTTCGCCACCGCGGCCTCCCCTCCTCTCCTCCGCCCGACCTCGTCGCAGTAGCTCGCCGTCGCTCCCCGTCTCGCCCTTTTCTACCCGGCAAAATAATTTGGATTTCTTATAGATGCAGACCTGCAAAAAGTTTCGTGTATCAAAATTTGACTTAATGCCGCTTGACGTCATGTGTTCTATGATAAATTGAGAAATTTTGATTGGTCCTTGAAATGTTACAAAAACTCCCTTCAGTCTTTTCATTATATACCTACAAAAGTATCAGGCAGTCTAAATTGGTTTGTACACATAAGACTAAGTATCAGGCAGTCTAAATTGGTTTGTACACATAAGACTAAGTATCAGGCAGTCTAAATTGGTTTGTACAAAAGTATCAGGCAGTCTAAATTTGATGTTGGTATTCTTATCTTTGCTTGGATTTTGTCATGGAGTATAAAATAGAACTAACTTGGTATAAAATAGAACTAACATTGTATAAATTAGAACTAACTTGGTATAAATTAGAACTAACGTGGTATAAATTAGAACTAATTTGTTATAAATTAGAACTAACTTGTTATAAATTAGAACTAATATGGTTAAAATTAGAACTAACTTGTTATAAAATAGAACTAACTTGGTATAAATTAGAA